GTTGTATAAAGTTTGCAAGAAAAGAAACAAATGTGATCCCCAACTCCCGGTTTTTGAGACCCATTTTGCAGACAGGCCCAGGATACTACTACCTAGTTTTTTCGAGGTATCTAAGGTTGGCCCTTTTCTTGCCGAGTTTTGCTCCTCCCTTTTGTTCCAAATGTAGTAAAACCCATGGTAAAACCAATACCAAGTTTCGAGCGTCATCTTTTTGCCCCAGAGATTGAAAGTAGACACAAGGGTACTTATTGGACCTTTAAAATGTCGAATGTTCGGAGTTCATCAGCCATAGAGAGAGAGGGAGAGAGGGAGAAACCATAAACAACATGAAACAACCATGTTTTTTTCGGCCAAACCAGTGCAGACATTTTTTAGCCTATATAATTAATTATATATATATATAATAACTGTTACAAATCCATTTCGTAATTTAGTAAACTTACTTTGTTTGTATCTGTTTTTATTTGACGTTCGAGAGACAGGAAACTCTTTCGAATGCTCAAGATATATCAAAGTCAAAGGTGAAGACACCATAAGACACCTGCATATAGTCCTTCTATGTCCTTCTTAAATCAAGTCAGCCGATCCTGTGAAGTGGAAAATCTATGTATGTTTGAAATTTGATGTTTCTGGGTAAATTATAACGAGCTCACTGCGACCTCACTGGAAATCATGGTCAATAAGGGAAATCATCCCAAAATGGCCTTAATTCAGATGTTTGTTGCTGGTTTTGCCAGAATAACCCATGAAATAACTTGGATGAAGTCACTCCACTTGTGCCGAGGCCTTACCAAAAATGGCCTGGTGCTCCAAAGCGTTGGCGTTGTGTCCGGCACCCGGAAGCCTCGAGATACCTGGAGTGGTGACATTGGGGGCACTTCTCCAATGGCTTTACTTCGGGTTAGTTTGTACAGTATCTCCATGTATGTAATATATGTACTGTATATATATATATATACATCATATACATTATAATGCGTGCAGAATGAGTGTGATTCCGGCCGGCCAAAATTCTCCATCCACCCCATGAGGACTCGCAATGGGATATCTATGGGAGACTATGGGAGATTAATCAAATACCATCCTATAATTTCACATTTTTCTCTGGAACATCACTATTCTTTATAGGTCAATCAACATAGGAGCCATCTATACCATAGCTGAAATTACAAGTTAGTGGTGAAGACCATGGAAGTTTCTGGTGTCCCTGGGCGTTTGAGAATGGGGTATACCCTGCAAACTCGTTTTTTCATAGGGAGACGGCTGATTTTTACCGCTGGATTTGAAGGTCTATTGCACAAGACAAACCTTACATGGTGTGGTTCGTTCATAACTACATTATCCCCATGGTATCCCCATTGCAAATCTCCATTGCAAACATAGCCTCAAAATCAGTAAGAAACGCACAATCTCACTATACAAAACAATGGTAAAGATGGTAAAGAACAAAAATGGGTATGGGTCAATACCTATAGATACATTTTTAGTGGGATGAACATCCATTTACCAGCTATTTTGGGGTTCACTAGGTACCAGGGTTTTGACCCATCCCCAAATCAGTCTTTTGGTGTTGCTAAAATAAGGAGTTGTTCGCTATCCCCATATCATCCCGATATGATCCCCCTATTATATCCTGATATTATTCCATAATTATTATTATACCCATAGGATCCATGTATGGTATATATGCTAACATTTGGGGTATATGGATGGTAAATGTTACCATATATGGCATACATGGATCCTATGGGATATATTATTCCTGTATAATTCCTGTATTATTCCCTTAAGATCCCCCGCTTTTCCCCACAATATCCAAATGGGGTCTTTTGAAAATTAGGTGCCCCTAAGAAAATATTGGTTTGGAGGAAGCAGCCATGTTCAGATACACCCATCATGTCAACTTGGTTAGTGCTGTCCCATGAAATACATTTGAATATCCCATTGATATATGAAAATTCCCTGTATATAAATTACTGGGTTAGGTATATATATCTCCCCATTTATATTCCGATATTCCCCTTATTTTAATTTCAAGTTGGTTAGTTGGTTCTACTTATATTCCCCATTAATCATCCAAATAAATAGACCATATTTTAGTATCTATATAATATATGTATATATGTATATATAATAATATTGAAACATAGATTTGGGGGATCCCATTTTAAGAACCCCATGAGTTTTCTCTCGGCAAAGGCCTCAACGTCCTGAGTTCCTGACCAAGGTGGCACAGGTACGTGCTTTTCGGGTCGAAAAGCATGAGAGATACCCAGCGCCATGGGAATATATTGGAACATATTGGAACAATTTGGAACATATCTACAGTAAACATACACATATATATATATACATTACATATGGTAACATATTGGAACACATGTGCTATTATATTTTATGATTAAGTTATGTATATATATATATATGTATCGGTTTGATTTTGGGAAACGTGACAAATACCATGTCGACATGCAACATATTTCGAGGCGTCACAATCTACTTAACTTGCAAATGCAACATGTTTGCTCTGCAGACTGCAGGTCGTGAAAGTTTGAAAACACACAAGCTGAGTCAGATAATAAGACTTGCTAGCTATATCTTCCCTGCCTGACTTGTTCTTCCTTTCGACTGTCCGCACAAGCTAACAATCTGCTTAATGACATTTGAACAGTATGTTAGTTGTTAGTGATGAAGTATCCACATATTGCAGAACGATGACCCATTGCCTGCTTTCGGTGGTTCAAGTCCATATTGTCTGTGTTTGCTTTGGTTGGAATCGCAGTCTTGTTGCTGAAAGTGGCATTCATTTTCTCGCATCATAATTTGCACTGAAAAAGCTGCTTCTCAAAACCCCATGTTGGTTGATTGAAGCTCCCCTTTCTTGTTCATGAATTCCCCACATAGATTTGGATGGTACCCTCTGGTATATTAACATAGACCCTGGCAGATAGGGTTGGAAGATACATAGATGGATTTTTGGGCTCATTTGGATTGATCTTAGCCCAACATTCTTTGTGAGTGAGTTCAACCCTCGGGACGTGGGTCCCGGAAACCGGCAGTGCAGGGCTGTGCCCGGCTAGAGCCTACCATGGGATCACCTGTGATCACCTTCGAAACGACAGCCAGGACGGCTGTGATGCACCATGGTAAGATGATGGAATATGATGGATAATCTCCATGGTTGTATGATGTTGTGTTCATTGTTTGAAAAACTCTATGATTTTTGCATTTATACAGAGCTATAGGCATCAGTTTTTTTGCGCTCAGCAGCTCAGGTTTCATCCATGGCAATCTTTGAATGACAGGACAGTGACCCTCCTTGAGGATGATGACATGGTGGTGGCAGTAGTGCAGAAAGCAGACGATTGAAGGGCCATGGAAAAAGGCCTTGTGGCGACCCAGAACGGCATGTGTATATTTTGTGCATAATGTACATACGAACCTACGATTACAATCCAAAAACAAGGGTTTTGCAAAACCGGGGAATGGTACAGTTAGGATCGCCTCAAGAATGTTTCAACCATTTAAGGGTGTTTTCCGTCGGTCATGGCTTGGCGGCTTCAAACATGATCATTTCACCATGACGGAACCAATGCTTCAACATCTGAACTTCATATGCTATGCTTTCTGGGAAAAAATGAACACTACCGGCCTCCTATTCTCCATCCAAATACTTGGATCGTTGAGAAAAAATATGGTCACAGGAAGTTCCTTATTGTTGAATGAGACATGCGGATGGATCAAAATCTATCATACCGTATTATACCACAAATGTGGCTTGCTGGAATTTCCACCATCTCTGGATGCTTTAACTCAGCTATAAACCTTCAGTAATGATTTAATAATATGTAATAATTAGCGGGGGATTTCCATTGTTATTCAGAGGGAATATTACCGGAGGGCATATAACGGTATAACGGTTTATATATATATATATAATGGAGTATACATTATATATATATATATATATATGTATATATGTATATTTATATATATATATATATACGTATGTATATATATATATAGATATGTATATATATATATATATATGTATATGTATATATATATGTATATGTGTACTATGTACGTCCGCATGTTGAACTAATTCCTGATAGTCTCACGTTATAGGAAGAACACAGAACACTGTAAAACACAGTGAAAAATGACGTGTTTCAATCTGGAACACAATGAACTTCAATTGCCTTCCGGGGAATATATATACACATGTGTGTACTATGTATATATATATATATATACACTACATATATATACATATATATATATATATGTATGTATGTATGTATGTACTATGTGTATATATATATATATGTATGTACTATGTACTATGTGTGTATTTAAATATATATATATATATATATATATATATGTACTATGTATATATATATATATATCCATTTACCACCATGTGCGATTTACTTTGAGGTTCACCAGGGTACCACGAGTTTGACCCCTTTTTTTGTTTTCACGCCGTCTACCTGGAAGTTTGGTCATTTGATCTCAAAGGTATCAGGCACCCAAGCGACAAATTGGAATTTCTACAAGATTTACTGGAGGTTTGAAAGTAACATGTTATTTGAGATGTACCATCAAGTCTTGTTATAACGTAAGTTGTGTTAATGGAAGTTCACAGTTCTACAAGATGTACACTTATGTTACTGAAGGTTACTCCCCCATGGTTTGAAAGTTACATAAGTTGTTTGACACCTGCACGAGACATGCGTGTCACAGCTTGTCCATTGTTTGAGACTTACCCACATGACCAACGGGGCAATGTGCAACGACCCCTTTTGGTTGATGATCAGTTCCAGAGTTGTACATGTGAGTTTCTTGTTGGTGGATGATTGACACTACTATATCAAATGTTTGCCAAATATAGTGGGATTTGATATACAAAGTTTTTTTTCTAGAAATGTGTAGAAATGTCAGTTTACTATTATGATCCATGGATTTCTATTTTTGTTTACCAACCATTTTTTTTGATAAACTCACCGCGTTCCCTCGCCGCGCCATGAATGTTGCGGAGCGGCGCAGCTCCTCCACACCCGCTCCGCGCAAGTCCAGCAAGGCCAGGGAGAAGCGATATACCCTTTGGTAAACCAACATAACTTAACTATAGAAAATCACTAGTTTGAGAAGGTAAATCAACTACAAATGGCTAATTTTCTATAGCTATGTTAAATTACCCGGGGGTATATAGTTTGTAAGCCCATGAAGCCATAGATATATCATGATGCATCATAAGCCATACGTAAGCTAGTTTTGTTTGATTTCCAACTTACAGCTACCTACTAACAAGCCAAATATATGGATCCAAATCCTCGTTATTCATTATTTCTTCGGTCAACTCCCAATGTTCCCATCGTTTGGGGGCCAGGTTGCGCAGGCGACGTTGGAGCTGCGTCGTTTGCAGGAGGACGTCCGGTTTTCACCGTCCTGGTACCAACGAGCGTCCTGGAGTTTCACCGACGAAAAACATGAATTTATGGGGTTTAATGGGTCTTAATGGGATTTAAATGGGATTTAAATGTGATTTCATGGTGATTTAATGGGATTTAATGGTGATTTAATGGAATTTAGTGGGATATCCCGGGAATTGACCCTGTGGTAAACTAACATAGCTGCGGAAAATGACATGTTTTTTATACGAAAATCATCTATAAATGAGCAATTGCCCATAGCAATGTTAGTTTACTGGATGGTACTGACCCCTCAAAAAATAGAAAACTAAGTTATCACTATTTTAGTGGAAAGTTACTGTTCATTTTTGGGAGGGTTACGGTGTATGTGTTGATTTCGTTTTTTTTTCAAGAGAGACCACTGTAACAATGTAGTATTCTTTGGTTGGATACATGTTGAATGTACATAGTTACCTAGAGTAGATTTTCCATTTTGGTCAATCCCAACTTTCTTTTTCGGAAGATTTGGACATTGGACCGGTTAAATCCCGTGTTTTTTCTTAATTAATGTTGTCTACTTGTCTTCGGGATCTTCCAGCGTCAGGAGAATCGTGAGCTATTGGGCTGCTTGCAGGTGAACACAGGGGGGCGATACTGGGTACACGGCCAAATCGCAGATCGAACACTACAGGGGAGAATTTAACCATCCGGATTTGAAATGGGAACTCTTTCCTAACCATGGCGAGTTGGAGAAATTTGACAAAAAAGACTCAGCAGACTGTCACAAACCGTGGAACACACAACTGAAAGCTGGGATAGCAACACATTATCCGCACAACAGGATATATATCTGACAATATATCATATCTGACAACAGTAAATCATGTTGAACTGGGCCCTGAGACAGAGACATGTGTAGGGTGGGCTTAAGAAAACAGTCGGCACATCTGACAATAATATACATCATTGCGGATGTCAAGCTCTTAAACTACCTCTGTTTTGCCACGTTGCCCACTCTAAACCATCTTAACGTGTGATTGATGCTTTGAATACTGTGCCCTGTATCCCAACGAAGGTGGCTTGCAGGTATTATAGAACAGCGTTGGTAAAGGTGAGACTTATGGGGAAAACACAATTATGGAACACTACCAGGGCCGAACAAGAATTATACAGCAACAAAAAAAAAGAGTAAGATGGAGTAAGTTGAGTTTGGTTTCCCCGGTTTTCTGAGGAACCAGGAATTATGGAACCAGAGGGTACGGTATTTTACCGGACCTTCGTACTGTTCAACTTCCGTTCTCTAATTTTGGCAACGCCTGTAACTATAACAAGACTATATAATGACAACTTATGGTAACAACCATAATGCCAGTGAAAGCAATCATATTGTATTGTCCAGGTGAATAAGCAATAAGGATAAGAACAATGATAATCATACTTCAAACATTTGCAAAGAGGAATCTAATTCAAACTTGAGGTCATCAAACTCCACACCAGGCGGATCTTGACGACGACAATTTGGAGTCGAAGGTCGATGGGCCGACAGATGGTGGGATGTTGGCTCAGAGATGGCCTGACTGAGTAAAGTAACAGTTGTTGCTGGTGGGATCTGATGATCACATCCAGTAAATCCACATAAATCCACATAAATCCACATAAATCCACATGATTCCCTGTCAAACAGCAGCAAACTGCTGCCCAACAAACCATCTTAAACCGTCCGTGTTTGCTGGAACAACTACGATTGTTTCTTCGAATGCCCTCCATTTCTGCTAACAACACAACAACATTTTTGCTGGTCAAATAACATTGATATTGGTATTAAATTAGATTAGATGATTTATATCACCAGCAACACATCGTCTCACCAACAAGAATCCAGCAAACACAGATTCCAACCTAACAACCAGGTTGATACAATCAGCGAACGTGAACCAAGCAATAGCTGGGTTAGGTTGACCTACAATACGTATCAACAGGTCGTGGTGAATTGTTCCAAATCAACCTTCTTTGATTAGAACTTTATGATCGGCAGAATCATGACGGATCACTTTTTTCATCAGTCTTGGAATTCTACTCATCACCTTCCTATCCAAAACTATTACCGTACAGTGTTACAGTACTGTACAGACTGTACCCACGGAAAAAAAAAACGCAATCACCATTTTCCCATAGGCAGGAATGTCCTTCTCTATCTTTCTTTTTGGTTGCGAAAAAATGATGAAAAACTGGAGGTTTCCTCAAAGGGGAGTAAGCGAAATCATTCAAGTCATTAGACTAAACTTTAGTATTGAAACCACATGGTGACTGGGGATCCACTGCATCCACCATTTTAAGAAACCCCACATGCTGTTTTCCAGCCAGATTATGCCAGGACCTGGACCCCCAGCAGCGCTGGGTGCTCCTGAAGCAGCAGCTTGAGCAGGAGGTGCCAGATTTTCCGCACCATAATGTGATTCCACTGGGGTCCAGAACTAGGGTAATCCCATCCCTTCATACACCACCCTTCTTTAACATGTCAGGACCAAAAATGAAAATTACGCCAGGAGAGACCCCAAATAGCAAAAGGTGTTCGTGGGCAGCACTCAAACTAAACGCTTTTTCTAAAGCGGGATCACTGACACAAAGCGCGGTGCACACCTGCCGCAGCACCAGCAATCAAGTTCAAAAGTGCGCCTTTGGACAGCTACACCCTGCAGCAGCACCAGTAGCCAAGCTCCAAAGCGCAAACAGCATTCTGACAGCACGCACCGTGAAGCGGCACCCTCCAACGGCACCTTGCAGCGACCCTGCGCAACCAAGTTCCACTGACGGCAGCACCTTGCAGCGGCACCCTGCCGCGACGCACCCTGCAGCGACACCCTAAGCAACCAAGCTCCAAACAGCACTGACAGCCTGACAGCAGCATTTTGCAGCGGCCAGTGCAGCGGCGCCAGCAGGCCAGCTCCAAAGCGCACACGCCACTCCTTGAGTGGCAGATGAGGAATTCCTAATATGTCAGCAAGTAAACCGCACATTGAATAGATCCAATACCGAACTAAGTAGGGTCTTGAATGATTTTAAGGGCGCGTTTGATCTTCTGCAACGGGAAGGGACTACACCCTGTGGCCATTTCAAGGGATTTGCCGTGATCAACTATGAGATGGAATGTGGTTCCATTTTTTGAGACATCCACATTATGTGATAGCCTCTGGTAATCAAACGTGGCAAAGGAAAATCCTCTATAAATGGAGATTTGTGGCTGGGAAAATCCTCGAATTTTAGCTGGTGGATTCTCCAGCAAGCCATGTTTGTGGACTGCCGAGGGTAGTTCGATTCCCCAAGATCTCATGACCACCGGAACCACCCATATGTTGATTGTTGGATCCGCACATGTTTGATTCGATGGTCAAATTCCTATATGTTTGTATGCGCGATTGAATCCACAATCCACATTTGCAGGTAGCAATCAATCATTATTTAATCATCAATAATCAATAGTCAATAATCTTAATAAATCATCATCATCAATCAATAGTCATAATCAATCAACAATCCTAATCAATAATAATAACCAATACTCATAATCAATAATAATCATAACCAGTAATAATCAATCATAATATACCAGTTAAATCATATGTTTCCGGTGATATCATGTATATCTACCCATCTTTCGGCCGGTCTTGTCTCAGCTGCCAGGACTTTGCGTGTCGGAAGGTGCTGAGGCAACTGCAAAGGCAGCAGAGTGCCATTCTCGCGATGAGGCCGCGATAACAGCTTCAGCTGGGCCAACCACAGACCATACAGAGTTTCAGTGTGTTTTATTGCAGGTATATATCTATCATGTATATGTATATATACATATATACACGCATATATGTTTATATTTTGTATATATGGTATGTATCATTTTATGTATTATATGTCGTATCCTTTTTGCCCTTAAGCTCGACGACTTGATCCCACCCCCAAAACCAATTGTGTAGGACCTTTCTGGAGCCCCTTCAGTGAACAGATCCAGTGCTAAACTAAAGCTTGGGGTTGTTTGTCTGCTGGTAAGGACTAATGTGGTAAACCCATGTAAACCCAATAAACCATCCCTTATATTACCATAGATGGTGAAGACCCATCCCCAAATGCTAGTTTTAACATGGCATGCAATAAACCACTTTACAGAACCCAACACGAAACGACTTGTAAGCCCGTGAAGAATATGTTTTATGATTGGTTTTGCCACATCAACAACAGTCCTGTTGGAAAACAAGGGGTTCAATCAATTCGATCGACACAAACCAGGATTTAAGGAGGCACACTAGCAAGTCATCATGAAGAAAGAGTTCCCTCAACTGGTTAAACAGTTCCATGTTCTGGAATCAATGAACAGCCACATAGCTTGACCCAAGGAATCTGTCCATTCAAAGCAAACTTGGAACAAGGGATGATGGTTGGTTTGTGAAGGAGGGTCACAGTAAAGGTGATGGGTGGCGTTTCAACTACAGGAGTTGAAAGACTGGTGATTCATTGAATGATCACTCAGTTTGTGTCCAAATTTGGCTTCCACCAGCCTCACGATGCATATGGATTTGCAATGTTTTGAACCCCCAACGTTGCCACTCTCTGGTTTGTTTCTTTGGCGCTAATTCGATTTACGTTTGGTTGGCTACATCAAAAAGATTCAAAAAGGAAAAAACATCATTTTGGGTTGATCCGAAAATCTTGGTAGCAATACGATGGAATATTCATCATGGTCCTGATTTCAGTCAGGCACGGAAGAAGCAGGAACCTTCAGGAGACTTGGTTCAGTTACCATCCCCAAAGAGGTTTTTGGTGCAGCAATGGTTTCCAATTATACCCCGTGGTAATCAAACATGGTGTGAAACTTCCCCATTCAGTTCGACCATGTTCCAATGAAAACCACATTTTGAGATGATTTCCCCTGTTGGAACCACATTGATGATTATTGATGGATGATTTTTCCATTAAGCCACTCAAAAAATGTGTATATATATATAGATAGATAGATAATTGCAATAGATCATTGTACCATTTAGTTCGGGGATTTCCCAGCTAGCCATGCCATGTTTGATTACCCGAGGGTACATCAATTTACATCAATGGATTGGTTTCCCTTGATTCGCCATGGCTAAAATAACCCATGAATGTATGTATTTAATATATATATATATATATACATATAATTTATCTACCAATAAGCATACTACATCATAATTATGGAAGTTTTTCTTAGAGGTTTCCTAAATTTGGGGTACCCCAGATCGTCCAAGATCGACCAAGTGATTAGACCATGATAGTATTGAAACCCATAGTTTTGGGGACACACCTAAAACAAAGAAATATCATGTACGCAGTATATATAAAAATATAATGTGCAAATAATCATAGTATATATATATATACAAGTAATCATGATATATATATATATACATATATATTTACATATACTCATAGTATATATATATATTTACATATACTCATAGTATATATAGATATACACACAACAGATCATAGTATATCACAATATATATATATATTATTTGTTCAATTTGTTCATAGTATACATAATACATACAGAAGCTGCGTAGTATATCAGTTCCCCACGTCTCCACGTCGACTTCGCCAGGACTTGATATCAGAGAGTGCATCCTTTCTGGAGGCAAACCTTCATGGCTCATGATTTTTAAATGTTAACTTAGACAAAAATCAAACATTCTCAAAACGACATATGTGTTTTTTGGTTATAGCATGTTATCACTATATACTTGCTAACTAAGTTCTTCTTTCTTTAAGTAGGGGTTTTCTTGGTATAGTGCTCCTAGTCCTCAAACGCTCTCCGGACAACCAGAAGGGGATAGATGGGGCACAAAGAGCTGACGTTGGCCAAATCAACGGTCTTCCGTTCGCGACTGCGATTTGTCTCATTGTTGCGGAGAGTATCTTCCAGAAACCCAAAGTATCCAAGTATCCAACATAATCAACATATTGATTTTGCGCGCTGCTCCTGGCATTGTTGCAAATACATGCAAATGCCTAAGATGGTGCCAAACCCACCTGTTGAATCATGTTTAGAGCATATTTTAGAGCATATGATCCGTGATTTGAAGGGTTTCGAGCTTTGAAACAACAGCCATAAATCGACCCCAGAACAACCTTAAACTACTTTGACCTCCACTGAGATTTTGGGCAAAAGTCTACCCCGAAGCGATAAGATTTGGTTGGTCAAAAGCCATGGATTCCCGGCGAAACGTTTCCTGAAATTACCGGCAAATGCAAACATGATCTCAAAAAAACGATCAAGAACTTGGAATCACAGCATTCCTCGGCAGTCTGTGAGATTCTGTGAAAGACTTTGCACAAAATATTTTTGTTTCCAGGTTTTAAACTCGAGTACACCAAATTCCCATGGTTTGTAATACTGTTACATATGTATGGATCTATATGTATATATATTTAACAATATATAATCATATCTAATATTTTTATCAATTTTGAATAAGTTTAATTATATAATAAGGAATTTAATTATATATATATAATAATGTATAATATATATATACAAAATATATTTAATACTATATATATATAGTTATTTATATGATAACATATATATATATTTGAAAAAATATAACTAAATAAATATAATAACATAATATATAAATATTACAATATTTATAATAATGTATATGTTTGTTTGTGAAAAAATAAAAAATGTATATGATATTCTGTATTTTTTACAATATATATATATGTGTATATATATATATATATATCAATATATATATATATATATGAATATATATGGCAATATATATATATATAAATATTTATATATATGCATATATATATATATCAAAATATATATGTAATGTATACATACAATCCAAAATATAAATATCTAATAATATATTTAAATATATTCATACATATATATATATATATATATATAAATTCTACAGAATATATGTATTTTTTTATGACATATATATATATATAAATAAGTTTTTTTTGATATATATATATATATATATATTTCCGTTTATTATATAATATATAGATATATAATAATGGGTTGAACTATATATTTAAATATTTATAATAATATATACGATATATATAAATAATGATATATATATATATATATATAAATATATATCATTATATATAATAATATATTAAATGATATATATAATAATATATATATATAATAAATATAATAACATATTTAATAATATCTATATAATAATATATACAATAATTTATAATAATACATATATTATAATATATATAAATATCTTTAATAATATATATCATCATATATATAATAATATATTTAATAATATATTTAATAATATATATAATAATATATATATATATAATATATTATAATATATTTCATAATATTATTAATAAGATGTATATAATAATATATTTAGAATATATATAATGTGTTTTTTTATTTATTTACAACAATAATATAGTGTATATATTTATCACATATAATAACATTTGTTACAATATAACTTCTTTTATTTATATATATATACATGTTTTTTCAATATATGTAAGAATAGTTATTTTACCATATATATATATAGTAACAGCATATTTAACTATATTTATACATATGTGTTTTTCTACATAATATTGATTGTTTGATATATATATAATACTTTGATTTGTAATATATATTCAAAAAAATAATGTATGATATTTAATATTTTATGTATATACATTTTTATATATGTAGATATATATGTTAAATATATATATAATAATATATATTATAATATATATATATATATATTTCAACTTTTATATATTATATAACAATATATAATAATATATATACACATTCTTTTAATGTATGTAAGAACGTTTTTTTTTTTATATAAATACATATGTATATATTATAATATTTTTTAAATATGTTTAATAGTCTATATTCTCTATTTATAAGTATACATTTATAAATATAATATTTTTAGTATATAATAATAGTATATTATATATTTAATAGTATATATTACATAGTATATATTTAATAGTATATATATAATAATAATAAATTTTACACACAACAATATTTAATTTTCAATATATTTATAAGCATATGTATCTTATAATTTATATGTATATATTATTAATGTTTTTTTGCTTGAGTTTTTAAAATATAATATATACATAATCAGTTCAAAGATAAACAATGATATATATTATAATTATATAATACATATTTAACAATATTTACTTTATAATAAATATATATATAGCTGTTTATAATAAATGTAATAATATATATATATATACATACATGTATTACATATGATAATATATATATAATTTAATTTTTAATAAATAATATATAATATTTTGTATTCGTTTATACTAATATATATATATATATAATATTTATTGTTTAATATATGTAAACATAGTTTTTTTTATATATACATAATAATATGCATCTAGTAATTTATTTAATGATATATAATATATTCATATTGGTTGTCCCCTTTGAGATGGCCATGTTCAGGTATGCCCCAAAAACCGGGCTAACCTTTGTGTTAGCAGCTTTCCAGGCACTTCCAGACAGCTTTGCACATGCGCAGCGAGCGCGAATTGCAAAACAGAGGTGGCACCTGCGCTGCCGGGTATCGTTGGGAAGAAAGGTGAAGAAGTCCGCAATGGGCATGAGGATGAATGCTTAATAAGATTATAGTTGATTTCTGATTTAAAGAGTCCTAGCCTAGAGAGAGTGAGGTTTAGGTTTTGTGATCCACGCACTCTGGTGACTCCGAAAAAAATATTCCACTCAGGCATCACATATCAACCTCCTAAGGATCAACGAACTATTTGTCGCAATTTATCCCAAAGATAAATGGGTGAATTAAACCCATCATTTGATGACGGAAAAATCTACAGGGAACCACTTTGTTTGATGTAAAATTCACCACGGTTTTCCGTTTCCATTTTCCCTTAAACCAGACCCTTGAGTGGATTATTGTTTGGGAATCCCAAACAAATCCTGATGGTCATCCTCTTATATTTGGATTGGGTTAATCCCACTTTCAATGATGGTAATCAGGATGGTGAGATCCACTTAATGATGGTAATCCCAAAACAAAACCTGAGGTGCCAGGGAATGGTTCCAGCTGGACCCTCACCACCCGGAGATTTCAGTTTACCGCTTCAGCGCAGCAGGATCTGGCAAAGCCTTAGCATGGTGTTGCAGGACATTGGCGGCCACTGGACTTGAATCATGCACCTAGTTATGGGATATATCATAGGGGAATCATGGTATGTTATATTTATATATATATGTATATGAATAATATGTGTAATGGGGATAAAACATTTATTATTGGGATAAACCCATGAATAATTGAATAATGGATATGACCCATTGTTGGGTTTCTGAAGATGGAGATTTGAAATCATTTTTTCAGCGACGTGGGTAACAAGATTCATGGGATTCAATAGCCAGCCAGAATGGGGATATGATGGGGATATAGCTTGGGATACAACCAACATGATTTGGGTTTGTTTGACTATAGGTGGTTTAACCAACAAATGGTTGTGATTTTTAAATGAGTTTTTTTCCGCCTCATATAGCTGGTTCATCTGGACAAGAATAATAAACCAGTGGGTTTTATGGGTATTCAGTGTTCAGACAAACCCAAAATGCTCGTAGATTAGACACATCATCAAGACCCCATTGAAATGGCCACGAAATAGCCATAAATTGGTTGTGTAAATCCCTCTTTCTTTGACAAACCTACATGAACAAGATGAGGATTTTCCGCCGACTGGATGTTCCGGCATCATGCAATTTCCAAATTGCCGATTTGCGAAAATGGCCCATTTATAGATGGTTTACCTATTAAAAATAGCGATTTTCTATAGCTATGTTAAATTACCAGAGGGTATCCCTAAACTTGGAAGATGTTTTAAGAAAGACCTCAACGCCCTCGGTGCTTTCTTTCGGGTCGCGCAGGACGTTGCAACTGCGTTGCAGCGCTCAGGCTGGTCGATCTTTCGGCGCTGAGTTTCCCATTGCAAATGTTGCTGGTTGAAGCGTGATCCATTGAAGTTCTGATATGATCTGGTTGGTGGTTTGGAACAATTGATATTTTTCCATATACTGGAGATAATCACCCCAACTGACTAATATTTTTCAGAGGGGTTGGAACCACCAACCAGATGTGTGTATGTTTCTTTGACAACAGCCATCAGCCATCATCTTTCACATGTCTGTGTCTTTCCAAGCAATCTTTTGGTTCGATCTGTTTATTGAAACCGCCCCCAAACCTTGAAACCGCGAACACCCGTCGCTGCCATGGTTCGAAAGGTTGCTTGGAGAAAACATGGGCCAGGTGGTGCCAGTTGATGGTTGCAACGAATATTGGCTGCGGCAAACAAATATGGGTCTATCATGGCATAGAGCATATCATTATAAGCGATATCAAGGGTACTGGCAAACAAAAACAGCCCAATTTTAGTTTGATGGGGTTCTATTGCAGGCTACTACTACGTCGTATGATGATTGGTACTAATATATATATATATATATGTGTGTGTAAAAACATTTCCCCGGATTCGAAACTATATAAAATGGTTCATATAATTTTGGATGATTTGGAGGTACCTCCATTTTAGGAAAACCCCTATATCTGTGTCTATCTTAATTTTCTGGAGGGTCATTTGTTTTGACAAGGAGTATTTCCTGGAGTACAAAGGGATTAACACATTTCACCAGAAATCACGGGATACTGTAATCTTTGGTATACAGTACGATCCAATGCGACTGCTTCTAGATTATAACATATTTTAGCACATGTGTAACCGCTTGCATAATACGACATCAGACATAAATATTTCAGGACTTACTGACTTACAGTACCATTGTAACATTTATTTCTTGGTCACACCGCAGAAGATCATTTCGTGGCTCGAGGCAAATTTGATCTTTGTTTCCATGGTGCTGGCCAGTGTACCTGGGGGCAGTGGGACGGTTGAGGTTTTTTCACCCCAAGACGGTCGCAGATATGTTTGCAGGGCGTAGAGTCAGAAAGACACTGATGAATTTGGATAAGAGTTGCTGGTTAATATGGAATGACTGGTTGGTGGTTTCAAACATGAATTTTATTTTCCATAATATATGGGATAATCCTTCCCATTGACTAATATGTTTCAAGATGGTAAAAACCATCAACCAGTATTGGATGTATCTTATTGCCAGTTGCAACCAGAAGTGGAACATCACAACAGAGCGTGAATGGGTGCAGCACTATCAAACACCAAAAGGTCGGCACCCACAAAATCTGAAATCAACAAACACGCCCCTTGTAGACTTGCAGTAACACTTGATACCAGATCAAGCCACAAGTCTTTCACACATATTATATATATACATACACATGGTGGTGGTACCACCATGTTTTTTGGTTCAATGACATGTCTGAAACCCCCAGGTCCGCTAAAACGCGCTGGGAATTTTTTGCCGGCGGCGCAGCAACCGTTGCAGGTGATTCTTCCTCAAGCTTTAGTGGTGGCCCGTGACAATCCCAGTGGCTTGGTCCCAGGATCCCCAAGAATCCTCATTCCGTTTCAGACACCATCGTTGAAGTGAAATGCAGCGTTAAATGGTCATAAGTTAGCCATTTTTCGTAATTTAATCCCATTGCCAGGGTTTGTAAATGAGTTTGACTGAGACATTCAAAGTAGCGTTGTTGAGATACATAGATACATAGATACATACATAGATACATCTATGGTACTACACGTATGCAATGACTGATGAAGAACTTCCCCCGGATTCAGCCCAGCGCCCCAGCGCCCACTTGAGCAGTGGCCGCTAAATCCCTGTTGGTTGATGATTAGTCCGGGGATTATACTACTCAATATATTGAGGGTTAAAATAATCCAAGAACGGGGAATCCCTAATAACCAACCAGGATTCAATGGAATGATAATAGATCAACCATTCAGTTATGTTAAAGTTACTGGTTCAATGATAATACACCATTACCTATATAAACATCTAGATGAACCAATCCCTACAACAATCCCTATAAACCAATATAATTTATATAATCCAATCATTTGTAAACCAATCCCTATAAGAATCCCTGAATAAACCAGATTTTGATCAACGGGGAGCCGATCGCTGCTCACTGCCCAGTGCCTGGTGGATGGACGCATAGCCGATCGCCCACCCCTGAAGACTTAGCCGTGTGGGACAAGGTCATCACCAAGGCGCCTGTCGATGGATGAATGGTGGTGGATTGCCTTGCTGAAGGCTTGGGTTAATATGGGTTGATATGGGCTATATAAACATGAATACTGGTCAATGATGGTTCATAGTATAGTGAGTCTGGTTTGATAAGCATCAATACTACTGGTTAATGATGGTTCATAGTATGGTTATTATGGTTGTATAAACATTAAGGCTGGTTAATGACGGTTCATGGTATGGTTAGTTTGGTTATATAAACGTTAGTACTGGTTAATGATGATTCATAGTAAGGTTAGTTTGGTTATATAACAGCATTAGTACTGGTCAATGACGGTTCATAGTATAGTGAGTATGGTTTCATAAGCGTCAATACTGGTTAAGGATGGTTCATAGTATGGTTCTTATGGTTATATATACATTAAAAATGATGGTTCATGGTATTGTTAGTTTGGTTGTATGAACGTTAGTGCTGGTTAATGATGGTTCATAGTAAGGTTAGTCTGGTTATATAAACATTAATGCTGGTTAATGATGGTTCATAGTATGGTTAGTTTGGTTATATAAACGGTAGTACTGGTCAATGATGGTTCATAGTATGGTGAGTCTGGTTTCATAAGCTACTGGTTAATGATGGTTCATACTATGGTTAGTATGGTTATTTCAACAATAATACTGGTTAATGATGGTCCATGGTATGGTTAGTTTGGTTATATATACGTTAGTACTGGTTAATGATGGTTCATAGTAAGGTTATTCTCGTTATATAAACATTAATACTGGTTAATAATGGTTCATGGTATGTTTAGTCTGGTTATATAAGCATTTATACTGGTTAATGATGGTTCATTTGGTTATATCAAAAGTTAATCCTGGTTAATGGTTAATGATGGTTCGTAGTATGGTTTTGGTAAATAAACGTTAGTACTGGTTAATGATGGTTCATAGTATGGTTAGTATGGTTATATCAGCAATAATACTGGCTAATGATGGTTCATAGTAATGTTTAATAATGTTATATAAACATTACTGCTGGTCAATGATAGTTCATAGTAAGGTTAGTATGGCTATGTAACCATTAATGTTGGTTAATGATGGGTTTATAGTATGGTTAGTTTGGTCATAAAAAACATATATACTGGTAAATGATGGTTCATAGTATGGTTGGTATGGTTATATAAACATTAGTACTGGTTAATGACGGTTCATAGTGTGGTTAGTCTGGTTATATAAGCATTAATAGTGGTTAATGATGGTTCATAGTATGGTTGGTATGGTTATATAAACATTAATAGTCGTTAATGATGGTTCATAGTATGGTTAGTAATGGCTATGTAAACATTAATACTGGTTAAGAACGGTTTATAGTATGGCTAGTACGGTTATTTAAACATTAATACTGATTAATGATGGTTCATAGTATGGTTAGTGTGGTTATATAAACATTAGTACACGTTAATGACGGTTCATAGTATGGCTAGTAGGGTTGTACAAACATTAAAACTGGTAAATGATGGTTCATAGTATGGTTAGTATGGTTAGTATGGTTATATAAACATCAGTACTGGTTAATGATGGTTCATAGTGTTGTTAGTCTGGTTATTTAAGCATTAATAGTGTTTAATGATGGTTCATAGTATGGTTAGTTTGGTTGTATAAACATTAATACTGGTTAATGATGGTTCATAGTATGGTTAGTGATGTTCGGATAAGTAACCGTTTATTTTAATGCAAAACCATCCGGTGTCATTAAACATCTTGATGATTTTGTCAGCTATGAACCTCCAATCTTTGACTGCTGGAGGGTATAACGGTCTTTAATGGTATCCATTGGAATTCTAATGGATCTATTTGATTGAGATATGGCTAATGTTTTCTGATATTTGGTATATTTAGGGTGTTGTCGTTGCTGTAACTTTGGGAAGATTATGATCAGCTACAATAATGGTTACATAATACTAATACATGTATTTTTTGGTAGGAGATCTAGGTTTAGCACTGTATTTCTGATGTTGTTTCTGAAGATCTACGGTTTGCCATGTGCTTTTGATGTAGAAATCGGGTGATTCAACCAATGGAGATTGGCATCTAGCAATCATGGGATTGGAGCAAGGGATACACGGGATTGAAGTCACAATGGTGCTTCCGAAGCATATTATTTCCACCATTTTCTGATGCCTAGACGGATGCCGTGAGTTGGCGACAGCAAGACCCGTGATCTACTGAGTGGTCATGTTTCTCAAAAAAATGAGGCTTAACACAGCAAATAGCATATCAATTTCTTTCAATGATACAGTGGATACGGGAGAAGTTCTATCACATCAAATAGTTATTCATATTTTAAAACACTTATCCCTTAACATATCCCCATGAATTCACAGTGCGGTTAGTTGAACCACTTATTTTCACGTCCAGCATCACACCTCCATGTTCGACTAGGTGAACAGCGATTTGGTCAGCATGGGGTGCCTTGGACAGAGGGGCGGGACAAGCGCCTGAAAACGTAGAGTTGAAAAATACCACAGCTATGGCAAGCCACAGGGAAAACCAGGGAGAATTAAATGATATATGTATATATATATATATATAAATGTCATAAATTCCTGGCTAATATAAACTTATATGATAATTTTAAATGAATTTATGGCCCAGTTTTTCATGATAATTGAGTGATAAACCATCAACTCCTGTTTTTTTTTTGCCTGTGGCGAGGGTAGCAACCAATAGCTTGCTTTGGGACATGCTGGTCATGACACGAGAATGTAGAGGCAGCGACGCATAGACACAAGATTCATCACTCCATGACGAAATGTGAAGCCCCGCAATGGCAACCTCAGCAAGATGGTCGTCCCAGCTGAAGGGTATACTTAGATATACTGAATGTATACTTCGAATGTTCTGAATGTATCCCTATGTATCCTGCATACATATATTACATACATGTTACATCTTATTACTTCATTGAGACTTGGGGATCTGACAGATTTCTATGAACAGGCAGGTCCAAGGATTTCCGCTGGAATTTTTGTTGCACCTGTACCCTTTGGTGGTTTAAGTCTCTGGTGGAAAAAAGACTTTGCTATGAAAAAATATCATTACAATTTCAATCTTATTTTCATGCCCCTTGAGTCCTGTCATAGCTACATATACATATATATGTAGTGTCTAGATGTGTGTATATAATATATATATATATACATAATATATATATATATATATATGCTATATATATATAAAACATAATATATCTAGAAATAGATATGTTATACATAAATACAGTATTCTAAAATTTCGTCCAAAAACATGGATCGCTTAGTACAACAGGAGACCAGCGGCCTGAGCCAAGGCAACCAGTGGAAGTTTCTACCCAAGTGGTTTCAGGGATCAAGTGACCCGCGGGACCCAAATCGGCTGGAGATGGTTCATGACTTCAAGTCGTGGGCAGTGTTGAAATTGGCAGAATTGAAATCTGGTTATTTGTGAAATCAGTTTGTTTGTTTCTTTTCGATCACATTTCAGGGTTTGTCTTACAACGACCTGACCACCAAATCATCCTGGCAATTAGTAGGGTTGGAATCATCCCCAATTGACCCTATTTCAGGTTGGTAAAGAATATCAATTCAACCAGCTGGGATGAGAATCCCGATGTCTTGCTGTTTTGCATAGGTTGAAACCACCAATCAGAAATGACACAATACACGTCAACCAGGATCGTAATCGCGAGATTGGCCAGCATTTGTTTGCATCGGAAGCAAACACAGGATGTGCATTGCATGTCACCAGCAAGAGAAAGGATAGAAATCCTTGAGAGAGAGATAGAGAGAGAGATCCTTGGGGTAAAAGTCTGACTGGTGGTCCCAGATGTGTCAAAAAGGTACTTGTTTGATATGTTTTGAATATACTGCCAGGGTGAACACTATTCTTATTGTCCACAACAGTTTGTCTCAATATATATATATATATACATACATACATCGCAATTTATTGCAAATTTAACAAGCGAAATGACGATCAAACATGATGATAAACCCTGTTTACATATATTTATATCGTGTAACATCATTTAACCTATCATTTAACATCATGTAACATCATGTAACATGAATTTTGAGACAGACCCTACTATCCCAAATGACATGACCGAAATGACTGAGCCAACGGCTCGAAGGTACAACTTTATCTTCAGCAATGGTGACCAGGCTGTTGGGATCCAGTGGAAACGGACGGTCCGGTGGCTTCCGTCGGAACAAAGAAACAATATCTGAAGAGGAGACTGCATCAGCCGCCCTGGCAATGAATATGTGTACATATATACATATATTCTAGCAATTTCTTGCCCATATTCCAGGGCCGAGCATATTCCATGCCAAAATAGCTGGGAAATTCCAGGGAATTGCGAAGACCCCTTTCAGGTGAAATTTGTTTTTCATACAGTTTGCTGCGTACTCCTTTTCTTCTGGCACGTACGTTGTCGACTGCGCATGTTCTTCCCCAAAGACGATCCTTACTTTCAACAATTTCTGGAAACGTCATAATCAATAGTGCTTTCCAAAAATTGATTAATAACGTTCTTATGGGAATTTGTCATCTACACTTTTCAGGATCTCAAAACCCAATTCATAAGCTTTCAGCTTATGTTCTGGCACGCTTGGCTGGCCTTTCACCAGCAGCGCCATCCCCATCTTTATTGACATCTTTGTGGCCCCGCAAAGAGCTCTGCACAACAGGATCTGGGAACACAAATCATCGACGATCCTGTTTTCTTCCGTGCAAAATAATTCCACCGATAGAGTACGATGCCACCCCTGGAGTGCGCTAATTTTCTGGAACGCGAAAATAAAACAGTATGCGTGGCCCCCTTCGGCTCCCTTCGACTTTCTTTTTGGATCCAACCCCTGTTTTTTCCATCATATACCAGAAAATTATCACAATTCACCCTGCTGAGCTTTTTTTTCCTTTTTTCTTTTTTTTTTTGGAAAAAAAGGCCTGGAATGCGATAGTATGTGAAACTACAGACGTCTCACGCGAAACCGCTACCTTGCCCATATTCCAGAAAACGTGATTCCAGGCGATTTTTGCCAAAAAAAACGGGGGAAAAAAACGGAAAAGAAAAAAAACACGGAGTACGACGGTTTTATGGAGTGCGAAGATTTTGCAGAGTGCGTGGATTTTACAGTATGTGTACGTCCCTAGCTGTGGAGTGCGATGTCCCATGTGGAGTGCGAAGAATTTATGGAATGCGAAGAATTCTGAGTATGCGTGGCTGGTTTAGAGACCACATAGGGAAATTTCGGGGCCAGAACCAAAATTCCAATCAAAGCCAGCCCAAACTTCCAGGGGCACACCAGTGGGTTCTGTTTTTCCGAATTCACCTTGGGTGAGGCCCCGGGGAAGAAACTGGCTAATTTTTACTCAGCCAACCTTTAAAAACGTTACCTTTGACAACCCTGTCCTTCTTCGGTAGACAAATGAGGAAACTCCCTTATCAAAGCAGCCTTCAATTCATCCAGCGTCCACAGCTGCTTTGGAACGACGTGGGGGATGGAAAGCTGTGGGGGGGCATTCAGTGGGTTCGTCATGGCCCAACTGTTCCCTCCAGATTGAGCTGAGATGCCTATCAAAGTAACATACCAAAACCCAGGTCTGGAGTACGATGAAAACATGGTATGCGAAGATTTTCTGAATATGGGAATGTTGCCTCTATATATATAATATATAAATATATATACATATATATATACATACTAATATACATATATATACCCATAATATATATATATATATTTAATTTACATATCAATATTTAGCAAAATTAATTTTCAAAATGCGCACACAACAACTGAAACACCATGATTTGTCGCAAACTTTGAAATATGAGAGATTTGGAGATTTTCGGTATACTTTTGGCACCGTAGACTACGGTCTGAAGCCTAATTTTGGATGATACTAGAATAATGTCAACCCCGGATTAATAAACCATGGTTTATTGATTAGGGGGGTACTCCTCCAATAGTCATAATCTGCCACTTAAATGGTACCATCCCAATTAAACAGCCTAGGGGTTTATTAATTCAGGGTTGACATTAATCCCAGATTACAGTTGTTGGCTATGTTTGGCTATTATTTTTTTTCGCAAACCGTCATGACTGGCCTTGATTCATGTCAGTCCCGAAACCGGGGGTTGACCATCCGCGGGATCTCCGGCGGCCAGGTGAGTGTCTACTCAGTGCCATGGGAACAGAAGTTGGAAGTCTCTGAGGTGAAGAAGAGCACGAAGTAGGCGAAGGGAAGTGGCGAAGTTGGATATATATATATATATATTAATCCCACATTTTTTTTAAACACCCCCAGTGGATTAATATATTAAACACCCAACTGTGGATGGTTCCAATGGAATGTGGAAATTCCCAACAAAAAAACAACATGGTTTCGTGGCCAGGGGGTGTTTAATATTAGGGGATGGGATTATTTTTTGTTGTTGTTTTTAATCCTCCAGTAACCAAACATTGCAACGGAATATCCATCATTTTGTATATGTTATAGGTATTTATAGGTGATGTTCCCATTGAACTTTGAACCCTCGTTTGCAGAGGATTTTCCATTGCCACGTTTGATTACCGGAGGGTACATATTGCGACCATCGCAAAATACAGTGATTTCAGAATTGGAAAGGTTTGGGGCTGATGTTTTTTGTGCAAGTATGTTTCTGTTGGTTTGTGTGTCTGTCATAAGATGGCAAAGACACCAGAGAAGAAGGGAACTGGTACAAATCTCAGGAAATCATCATGTTTTTTCTTGGGTAATCAGTGCGTGTGTGTGTTTGTGTGCAACTAACTACTGTATGTCACAGACAGTAACTGACAATTAGGATAAGACACATTACTGATGCAAAATTGTTTAGCATATGAAGAAAACACCGAAATTGCCGGTAGAAATCAGTCTGTCCAAAAAGGCTGGAAGGGCACTGTTGACTGTTGATTTATCCTTTTGACATGGACAAGCACAGTTGTGATAAGATTGCTGGGCATCCCCCAAGTTGTGACCAACATATTACAGTGTTTCAGTTTTTTGCTAATAATATGTTACTAATAATACTAATATTACTCTTGCCATATGTTACTAATAATAATGTGTTTTCCAAGCAACGACCATGTGTACGTATGAAACAATGATGCAGATGCAATCAATGAAGACACTGATATGAAATGATATTACCCGCAATGGTGGGTAACCGTGTATGTAGCCGGACAGCCAATCAAAATGGTCATGTGCTGAGCCTGTCTCCCATGGAATAATCACAGTTCTAGGGCTCCTGCTGTCCCCGGCCGCCGGAAGGCCACGTGGCAAGGTGGATGAGCCAGACCACATCCCAAATGACCTGCTATGGCAGTTGTACAGTTGACTTGGGCTCAGCATGGCTGGTACAGTATCTTTTGGCGTTCGCGACAGGGTCGAGATGACCAGACGAAGTGCCCGCCTTTCAAGTGGAAGGTTGGTGTAGTTCGACACGCACTTGCAGAAAGGTCAATATTCAGTGAAGGGCAAGTTGTCTGACTATGTGTCTGTCAGCATCGTTGCATTGTTGATTCACATTTAGTTCATCAAATATGATAGACGGATATTGATATAGATGGTATCCCATTATGTTTTACAGAGTAATTCAATGCATTTCTGGGTGTATTAAGTAGTTGCAAAAATAAATCTGTTCCTGGCCGAGAGATCCATCCGTACTGTTCCATGTGCATGTTCATGTTGGGCCAGCTTGATGAGATAAATCCCTCATTCTCGGGTCCCATTCCACAGAAAGCTTGTTGAGCCCCGTGATGGTTGGATTCATATATCGTTTCATATATATTAACCAATATTAATTCATATATATCATCAATAATATGTTTTCTAATCAGTTTCAATAAATATAAATTCATCTTTCAATTAATAGCATATATTTCATCTCGAATAATTCACAATATTATTTTTCATTAATTGCATATCATATATTTCATGGTTCATAAATCCTTTCGACTACCCTCCTATAGACCATTTCATCTTATCTCGAGGTACTACGGGAATAGTGAATATACATATGTTCATTAATAGCCACAATGATTTCCATAAGCAATCTCAAAAATAATCGCATATGCTACCTCCTCCCTGAAAATCTTGTCATATCTCATCACAGGAGTTGGCGTTCATACCAGATTCTAATTTTACCCTCTGGCAATTTAACAATTTGCTATGGAAAACAGGCCCATGAAAATTGATGATACCTATTTAAAATGGTGATTTTCTATAGCTGCATTGAATTGCGGACGGTATATGTCTGTGAGCTTTTCCCTATCTCCAGTCATCTTGGATGCTCCAAGTCTTGGGTGACCTTGTTGAACTGTTGGCATGGCCGCAATCCCGACTCGATTCAAGTGGCTCCCGAACGTGTCGGGTCCCTCGGCGCGCTGAACACAACGTCGTGCCGGGGGGGCCCGGATGTACCAGAGCCTTCCAGAGGGCGTAGGAATGGAGCGTCAGATGTCACGCGTGGGATGTAGCATGGCCAATAAGCCTTGGCCAGATGAGTGGCTTGGCGCTGGGAAATTGGGGGAGAGGATGGGAAAGGATTAGGCTGAAAAAACGGGTTTGACCTGTGGTCCCATGCGTGTGAAACGTGATAGAATTTAGTCTACTTCATTTACCCTCTTGGAATCAAATATGGCACTTGAAAATTCATCGTTTCTAGATGGATGTCCCATTTACAGTAAATGCCCATTTGTACCGGATTTTCCAACCATGTTTGATGACACAGGAGGGTATTTTCATGAGGCATCTCCAAATGGGATGTACCAGGGATGCCGGTGATACCTATATACAATGTGTGGCCCCCTATAGTTGCAGGTTGGTTTTTAAACCCCATCAATCTGAATACTAAATATAGTATATTATAATGTATTATATCGTTATATACGTATCATAAACTCTAGTGATTGGAGTTATGTTCACCAACTTTGCGATTTCCACCCATTTTGTATTTGCGATGATGGTTTCACTGAGCCCAAAGATTCGTTGGTTGAATGGTTGATCATTGGGAATCATTGGTTGGTCTGATTGATTCAGGATCAGCCAAAACCCCAAAAAGATGATGTTCTATGATGTTATGTGATGTTATTTGCTACAAAAAAAACACAAGATATGTGCTTGATTCGAACAAAAAAAGAGACCCATAGAACGGGGAGCAGCGGTGTGTTGAATATGACTCCCTTATCTCCAACCTTTGGATGATCCAAAATTTAATCAGGATTTCAACGGGGGTAATGTCATATCGGCATCTATGCGCATTTGGCTATGTATTCCAATTCCGGGATGGCTAAACATGGTTAAACATGGTGAAAAATGATTAAACATGATTAAACCATGTGAAAGTCCTGTTTGATAACTGAACCAGGTTAAACATGGTTAAACCACGTTTTTTTGAAGGGAACAAATGCACCTGAAAGTCATCAGCTTTTGAACTGGCCTTCATGGGGTCCAGGATGGAAATGTTCGAGCCCTATGTGACGGGCATCATGTGGTTCAAAAAGCTGCCGGATACCAAAGCCGTCGCGGATGCATTGGAAGCTCGAGACAAAAAAAACATGACTGAACCACAAATCACATGAAACATCTGCAGGGTTTTGACCATCATCAATGCAGATATGGGCCAACAAACATGGATCATGGGGTATCGCTTGTAGAAAACAGTGAAGTAGTTGATGCTTTCAAATGTGTGTCACATTCATTCCTGTTTGTGATGAGAAGCCTCAATAGTTTCAGGAGAGTGGGGACACCAGAGAACCAAAGATTCTTCATGATTTTAATCACAATGAAAATACGACAGAATACCCTCTGGTAATTTAACATAGCTATTGAAAATGGCCATTTATAGTGAGTTTTCCCATTAAAAATAATGATTTTCCATAGTTATGTTAGTTTACCAGAGGGTAGATCCGATACTCCAGGTTTTTTGGGGCGTTTGATATTAAGGGATGACTTGAGGCCGCCTCGGTTTCTCTGATACATGGTGTCACAATGTGTCACAGGATCCATTGAGTTGTCATAATTCAAGCTGCTGGTCTGATCCAAAAATGACGCGTCTTTAAGGATTGCTTTGAAATGGCAAGTGGCAATATTTAGTGAAGAAAATGAGGTACACAAACCATTGGGTATACATAGGCCATGGAGCAGGAAATTCATCAGAGCGAAAGACTCTGCACGATTCCTTTTTGGAACCCTCTTTGCCTCCCAGATGCACAAGAGCCGGCACGAGTTTCAAAGAATGGATTGTCATCTTTGGGACGACAGTCCTCGTAGCCATGAAAATCAATTGCAACCACACCCGCAGAATATTGATTGTATACACCCATCTAACTAACATATAGATCATATAGATCATATAGTAAGCACCAAAAAGGATACACAATTAACTCATCAATTTGTTAGTAGGATTTTACTTGTTCATACTTGTTCTATTTTCTTGAAGGTTACCCACTACAAACCCTAGGGTTAAGCTAGTAGCCGGTTTTCAAAGTTCTGCAAGTCGCCCGCCTTTGGCTAAGGAGAAGCACTTGTGGCCATGACACTTGGACATCAAAGACATGACATTGATGAAATAAATTATGGCTGGTTGATGGTTGCTTCGGGGATTATAATACCGTTTACAATCCTTTACATATATATATATATATATACATATATATATATATACATATGTGATCACCATACTCCAATAACCAGGATTCAATTCAATTGAACACGACTCGGGCTAGTGTTTTTTGTCCCATCAAGAGGAGGATGTCACCAGCAAGCACTGTTAGGACATGACTAGCTGGCGCTTTCAAAGTGGTAACCCAGTATATTCGATTTGGGGTCCTACCAGTATAAATGTACATGCAATCTATTATAATGTTGGGATGTGCTGGGCATATCGTGATATGAACTATTATCTCATTTGCGTTTACATTCCTGTAATTTAACAAAAGCCATTGAACAACGCCATTTAGAATAGGTAAATCATCTACAAATGGGTCCGCTTTTCCATGGCTATGTCAAATTGCTAAAAGATAAATTCCATGGAAAATCACCATTTTGTGTTGCTTAAATTCCATTAAATCACAATTGTTGATGGTTACCCTCTGGTAGTTTAACATAGCTATTGAAGATCATCATTTTTGACGGGAAAATCAACCATAAATGGCCATTTTTAATAGCTATGTTAGTTTACCAGAGGGTAAACCCCGTTTATCCATTGGATATTCTTTTGGTTTTGCACCAACCTCCATGAAATTCCGCCCTGCTAAGTGGCATCAGGTCATCGCTTCAACAGCTGCATCGAAGGATCGAAATGGGTTTCTTGTCCGGCATGTCCTGAAGATTGGAAGAGGGTCACACTGTCCCTGAGGTTGACGTATATATATATATATATATATACATATATATATAATATGTATATGTATATCTATATGTATATGTATAATTATGTATATGTATAATTATGTATATGTATAATTATGTATATTTATATATTTATATGTATGTGTATACGTATGTGTATACATGTACATTTACAAATTATGTATACATGTTGGTTATTAGATCTTTTTGTGGGCTTCCAACTGTGTACCATCCTCAACCTATACTCATGTATATGTAGAGTCATTGATAGTCAAACGACGAACATTGCCACTAACCCACAAGCCTGGAGCTGTCAGCGACCAACATAGGGACATTGACGTCCATGGTATCACTCATCCATTTCTGTAATAAAATTGAGAGAACATATGAGAAAATACAGAAACAATTAATTCATAAGTTATACAGTGTGGTAGAGCCAATAATTTTCCACAATTGTGTATTGTGAATACCAGCCCATTTCCATTGATATTGGGGATGGCTTATGGCGGCATTGGGTCTACCACATTAATGCAAAATAGGACTAAAATGACATTACTTCGAGTGATCCCCCACCAACTGACATGTATTTTGGCAATTTTTGGCATTTCAGTTGTTACTTTATTTGCCGTTCCGTTTGACACACGTGTGTGTATATATTTTTTTTTTCGGCATTTCGACTGACATGTTTTGGCATTCTATCTAGTGTATATATATATATATTATAGTATATTCTTACATTTTATTGGACATATGTTCCGACGACTTCTGATATATATATATATATATATACCTAGGTCTTCAAAAGATCAATAATTTTTGGTCGACCCCTAATGTTCTACTTTTTCTGGACGCTAATTCAAAAAGTAGAGGTTTTGGTCGATATCTCAAAAAACCGGTCGTGAGCTTTATGCCCTCCACTGCAACCTTGAATTTTCTGTCACTCCCCGACCCCCTGAATTGATTATAGATTTCGCTCATGGAAAAAGCCTGGTTTCAAATGTTCTCCCACAATATAAGTCGTGCATCCCAATTCGCATGGTGATGTGCACACACACGCAAAGTGTTCAAACTTGCAATCATGACCATGCTTCTTCCAAAAACATAATTCTGTGAGAACTCTGCAAAAAAGAAGCAGAAGGCTTAAATTTTCATTTTTTTTTGCATGTT